TAAACAGCAATGATCACGAATCCTGACGAAGATTTCTTAATAAAAACGCAAGGGCAGATTGCATTATTCACATACCCTTTCTTTAGTAAATATTCGCTTAAGCGAGTATACCACATGCGTCCGGATTGTTTTAATCCGTAAAGTGATCGCTGTAACTTGACTGAACATATTTCTTTCGATTTGGAACTTAATGCTTCAGGCATTTTCAATCCTTCAGGGATTTTCATATAGATATCATTATCAAGTGATCCATATAAATATGCTGTCACAACATCCATAAGATACATTTCAAGATTTTTGGATGCCGCAAGACTCATTAAGAATCTGAATGTAATTGCATCCATAACCGGAGAATAAGTTTCTTCATAATCAATTCCCGGTCTTTGAGAAAATCCTTGGGCGACAAGTCGGGCTTTATATCTTATCACCTCATTTTTCTCATTTCTTTTTCTCACAAAAACTCATTTGTACCCAACCGGCTGTACATCTTTAGGTGTTGTAACAATCGGTACTTTCCTTTTATTAAGGGAGATCAATTCAGTTTCTATGGCCATTTTCCATTTCTCCCAATCAGAATTTTTCTGGCATTCTAATATGGACCTTGGATCTGGATCATCAATTTCATATTCAATTTCTTTGCATACAGAGAATGAAAATATTCCATCATTATCTTCTATTTCATCTCTAGCCCATAATATCCCATCTTGGGCATAATTGATGGAAATCTCATGATTTTCTTCGTCATTTTCGTCTTCAAGACCTTTCTCTGTATGTGGTTCTTCTGGACCATTTTCATTTTGTTTTCCCAATTTCTTTTTCTTTCGGGGATTTTTATCCTTTGATCCAATCGGCCTCCCCCTCTTTAACTGAACTTTGGGTTCATTTGCTATTTTTCCATCATTTTGTTCTTCTGGAACATTAATTCTCGATGGAACATTTGCAGCGGGTATATATGACTTTGTCACCCTTTTCGTATCTGTGAATGCATCTGGTATTTCATTTGCCATATTTTGTAAATGAACAATTTTCTGAACTTCGAGTTCACGTTGTTTCGTAGGGGGATCAAGGTGCAACAAAGATGGTGTGCACCATGTAACATCTTTTGGAACTTCTTTAATTCCTCCCCCTAACGCTGGAAATTCATCTTCATTAAAATGGCAATCGGCAAAACGTGCCGTAAACATATCACCAGTTTGCGGTTCAAGATACCTAATTATACTCGGTGACGTATAACCGATATATATTCCCAATCTTCTTTGCGGCCCCATTTTTAATCTTTGTGGCGGGGCTATCGGAACATAAACCGCACACCCGAACACACGTAGGTGGGATACATTTGGCTCCTGGCCAGATGCTAATTGTATTGGGGAATATTTATTATAAGAACTCGGTCTTATCTGAAGCAATGCCGCTGCATGCAAGATAGCATGACCCCATACTGAAATTGGGAGCTTTGTTCTCAATATTAACGGTCTAGCAATGAGTTGTAACCGTTTAATCAATGACTCAGCCATGCCATTTTGTGTGTGAACATGTGCAACAGGATGTTCAACATCAATTCCCAATGACATACAATAATCATTAAAAGCTTGGGAAGTGAATTCACCAGCGTTATCAAGTCTTACTTTCTTTATCATATAATCAGGAAACTGTGCTCTCAACCTGATTATTTGGGCAATGAATTTTGCGAAAGCCGTATTACGTGTTGTCAATAAACACACATGTGACCATCTACTGGATGCGTCAATTAATACCATAAAATATCGAAATGGCCCGCATTGTGGGTGAATAGGCCCACATATATCACCATGTATTCTCTCTAGGAATACTGGAGATTCATTCCCGATTTTAGCTGGTGATGGCCGAGTTATTAGTTTTCCTTGAGAACAAGCATTACACATAAATTCTCCCGATTGAAAAATCTTCTGGTTTTTCAACGGATGGCCTTTAGAATTTTCCATAATTCTCCGCATCATGACTGAACCAGGATGCCCTAATCGTTCATGCCAGATTTTAAATGTACTTGTAAACTTCGGGTTTACAGTAACATATGATTCAGTCATATTTATCTTTGTGGAATATATTCCGGAGGATAATGCTGGTAATACTTCCAGTACAACTTTTCTCTCCGAAATAACTGATGTAATGCAAAGATATTCAATGCCGTTCTTATTCATAGTTTCTATGTGATATCCATTTCTGCGGATATCTTTGAAACTTAACAAATTTCTGTAAGATCCGGGGGAATATAACGCATTATTTATTTCAAACTTTGTTCCCCTTGGCATTGAAAAACTGACTCTTCCGGAGCCCATAATAATTTTTGCATTACCAGATATTGTATTCACGCTTCCAGCGGAATCTTTCATATTTAGAGAGGAGAAATACTTTTTATCTTTTAATATTGTGTGCGTTGTCGCACTGTCTGCCAGACATATATCTCCATCCTCGATCTTAATCTTTGACATTTTCTTTTCGGTATAGGAACGGTATAAGAACGGCTCGTGCTGATAACGTTTTATGTATTATATGATATTATATAGGTGAGTATATATATGTATTGTTTTGTGTGGTGGGGGTAAGAAGAAGACGATCAGTGAAGGAGTAGAGAGAGAAGAGAAGAGATGTTCTTCTTATTTCACTCGTGTAACTTCTAGTTTACAAGGGGAGGTAACAACATATTTATAGCAAACATTATGAATATAATAAGAGAAGTTACCGACATGGTAAGTCGGTCAATGACGGTGATATTTGATGAGGATATTTATCCTCTCTTCTTTAACAAAAAGCGTTTTTTAATTGACTGATTGATTGGTGATTTTTTAACTTGTGAATCATATGGGCTTTCTGATTATAACTCTCGATGGCCCAAAGGCCCATAATTTGATAATCGTGATTAATTTTTGGTCGTCTTTGTTTGTTCACTGGAATCTTCCTTATCCGGATGGTGGGGGCAGTGAAGACATGGCCGGAGTGTGCGTTCCATGGGGCGGCGAAGCTTGTCGCCTTCTTTCCCCAATTCGCCGGAAACTTCCGGCTTCCCTCTCTCTTCCTCCGAAATCCTCTTCTATGAACGTCGACGACAATCTCGGCTCATTCCTCGAGGTCTGTAAATCACCTCTGTTCTACTCTTCAAATCTCTTGATACTTTGTTTTTAACCTTTCGCTTCTCTGTAGATACTTCCCGGAGATCTGCGTCACCGTCTCCTCAACGATTCCCGAAGAAACCAGCTCGTAGAGGTTCGTTACTCTTCACTTTCCTCTTTGTCAATGATGGTTTTGAGGAAAAATGATGGATTTTTAAATCTCCAATTAGGTAATTATGGACTTGGGGAGACCACCTGAGGCACGTTATCTCGGTGAACCAGGAGGACAGTATCTTAGGAACATCGAGGTAAACTAATTTTAAATGTTATGTCTTCCTTCATCTGTTGTGTGTGTCTTTAAATCTGGATTATTGTGTCCATGAAAAACACTAGCTTAGGTATCCATGGAAGAGCTAGAGGATGCTCAAGAGCTTGTAGGTGAATTTGGGGCTGATAATAGAGCTGGAATAGAGGGTACATTGCACAGGATATCAGCTATTCGTAATAGGAAAGGCTTCATCGTCGGTCTAACTTGTCGGGTCGGAAGAGCTGTGAGTGGTCACATTGACATGCTCTATGATCTTCTTCACTATGGCAAAAGCATCTTGTTCGTTGGACGGTATACGTGTTTCTTGTCTTACACACTTGCTCTATTGCTTCATATCTCCAATCTTTGATGATGATGATTTGATATTGTCTTTAATTATAAGGCCCGGTGTTGGCAAAACCACTGTTTTGCGAGAGATTGCTCGTGTCTTGTCCGATGAATTCCAGAAAAGAGTGGTGGGTCTTCTTTGCCCTGAAAGGTTTTGTCTTTTTTTTTTTTTTTTTTTTTTGAAAAGGTAAGTGATTTAGTATGTGCAATGTGTGTTTAGGTGATAATTGATACAAGTAACGAAATAGGAGGAGACGGCGATATTCCACACTCGGCTATTGGAGGTGCGCGTAGAATGCAAGTGCCAAAGCCATCTTTGCAGCATAAAGTGATGATCGAGGCAGTAGAGAACCATATGCCTCAGGTGATCATCGTTGATGAGATCGGCACGGAAGCTGAGGCGCTTGCCTGTCGTTCTATTGCTGAGAGGGGAGTGATGCTTATTGGCACTGCCCATGGAGAGCAGCTCCAGAACATCATCAAGAATCCTACTCTTTCAGACTTGGTAATAATTGCTGTTTTTGGAATGTTATGTTTGTCCCTTTGCTTCAGCTTTTCTCAGTGTTCTCTTTGTCTTTTCTCATCGTTGGTTTGTAGATTGGGGGTATTGAGACTGTCACTCTCGGAGACGAAGAAGCAAGGGCGAGAAGAAGCCAGAAGAGCATCCTCGAGAGAAAAGCTCCCCCGACTTTTTATTTCTTGATCGAGATGAGAGAGAGAGATTACTGGATTGCACATCAGGTACTGATTCTTCACCAAATCTGTTCTTGTCTCTTTAGTCACTATCTTATTGACATTCTCAATATCATCTTTGGTTACTCTTGTGCAGACTGAAAAGAGTGTTGATATGTTGCTTCGAGGAAGGAACCCCATGGTCGAGGTACACAATATCTGAATATACATAATGATGGTACTGATTTGATGTCTGTAGGCTATTGTAACTTATGGTTTTCGAATTCTAGGTAAGGAGAAGAGATGAAGAGTTCAAAGTAGTGATAGAAAGATGGAAGTCATACGATGGACAAGGCATCTGAGTTTTCCTTTTAATGGTTGTTTATGTCACAAACTCTGTCTTTCTCAATGGATTGAAAAGAGGAGAAAAAAACATTTGTGTAAATGACTAATGCAACTTGGAGATTATGTGTGCATGTCTATTTGGAAAGACATGACATGGGATATTAAAACTTGCCTCTGTTTGCTTCTTCTCACTAGTACCAATCTTTGGATGAGAATTAGGGCAAGTTTTGGCTTTTGGTTATTTATAATGGTTCTTCCAATATGCTTTTCCAGAGCCATTTGGTTTTTGCAGAAGCGAGCATGTAGTCTGAAGAATGTGGAGGATGTGCCAGAAGAGTGTTATTGTATTCCTTCTGATTGCGAAGAAGATAACAGAGACCTCCATCACGGGAGATGAGCATTAGATTAGCCGGCGGTGGAATTTCCCGTTTCCATTCCAACATTTTATCGAACATATATAAGCGACCCAAACCACTACCAGCTGTTTCAAAACATAAAGACGTTACACAAAAAAGACAAAAGAAAAAAAAAACATAGTTAGTTGAATCTGAACATCAATAATGTCTTACTTGTAGTATACTTATAGTCGGATTAAAGAGATAAAGATAAGAAGATTAACTGGGAGTGACGTGATTAAGAACGATTCCAGTGGAAGAGAGAGCTTGTTTGATGGAAGAAGGAATGTGATTCATGTTTCCATAGGCAGAGATGGAGAGTGGACCACAGTAGTTCAGCTTATTCAGCGCCGAGATTATTTTCTGAGCGATTTCTTGAGATTTCCAACCTCTAGGAACCGGACACTCATCAATGTCCCAAAAAACCCATGTTCCAGTCTCCTCGTATCTAGCTTCAGCCACCGGGTTGTTCATCATTCTCGTTCGTGTTTGTCAAGACTTTTAAACAATGAAAATCAATCAGAAATTGGGAGAAGAAAAACGCAGTAGAACATCTTCAAATATCAAAACATAAGATAAAGCAAGAATCTAACCTAAAACAGAGAAATAATCTGCTAGCAACGGATAGTAGTGAAAGCAAAGAAAGATTGAGCTATCAGCTAACAGAGAGAGAAGATCGGCGATATATAATCTTCGAGCGCCATGAATAAAAATAACAAGGCCGTAATCGTTTTTGATCAACTCTTTTTAGTAAGATTTATATATACTACCAAGATTGAACATATATTAACAGGGACGAGAACATACCTCCTTTAACAGATTCCTGAGCTTCGTGAGGAGATAGACGCAAGTTCACGTGCCTTCCACGATATATAATTCTAGGTTTAGGTCTTCAAAATATTAGGAACAAAAAAATAAAACGTAATCAAAGCTAAAAAACCCTAAAAGGTAAAAACCTATATATATAGCTATATATATATAATATTCGATGATTTGTATTCATATAAATTGCTCTCTGCCCGATAAGCAAAACTTAAACGATCATGAGCAGAGGACAGTATTCTGATACCATCCCAATGGATCTTATTCCCGAGATATTTTCGAAATTGCCTGCAAAGTCAATGGCTAGGTTTCGTTGCGTGTCAAAGCTATGGGGCTCCATACATAGACGTCTCTTCTTCGTACTCGAACGAGCCAACCATGAATTTCTCTTCTCTTCTCGGCGCGTCAGCCTCAGCAACCGTATGATGAGAAGTCGTCCTTGTCGTCTCTTGTAGTAGCTGCTGATTTTCACATGAAGATCTCTAAAGACATGTGGCCAAAATTTCGTTGCCTTACCTCTGGTTTAATATATTTCTCTGACATGGAGATCTCAGAAGATAAGGGTTTTGAAGTGGAGCCTGTGATATATAAACCTAACACGGGACAATATGAGAACTTACCTAAACTGAGTAGGTACAGAAAATCGTATAGCTTTTTAGGGTTTGACCCAATTGGCAACCTATACAAGGTATTGTTCATTGCTTATCCATATTGTCCTGACAGTGGTAAACATAGAATTCTGACATTAGGAACTTGCAAAAGGAGGTGGAGGAAGATCGAATTTAGCTTAGTCCATGTGCCTGTGTGTGAAGGGATATGCATCAATGGGGTTGTGTATTACATCGGTGAAACTGAAATTGAAACTTCTTCTGAAGTTATTGAAAAGTACGTGATAGTTTGCTTTGATGTTAGGCATAATAAATTCAAGATTGTTGATGCGGAATGCTTTTGTAATCCACGTACTACTCCATTGATCAACTATAAAGGTAAATTAGCTGGGATTGAGATGTCTTATGATGATGCTGATGCCGTTAAGTTGTGTATATGGGTTCTAGAGGATGTCAAGAGACAAGAATGGTCGAAACATGTTTTCACTTTGCCGGAGAACATAAGTCGCTGCCTACAATGTTTTCATTGCTGGGATGACTACTACAGGTGAGATTGTTTTGTCAGACAGATTTACATGTAAACCGTTTTATGTTTTCTACTTCAACCCCGAAAAGAACACTCTCCAAAGTGTTGAAATCCGAGGTGTTGGAGAATACCATGAAGCGTTTGAGACTGAGTGCAAAGTTTACGCCTTTGTAGACTATGTCGTAGATCTAAAGTTTTTAACATAATTAAGAGTCTAGCTAGTTTTGGCTGTGAGTGTGACTTCTCTCATTCACATGTTTCGTGTGGTCTTTATCACTGATCTGTTTACTTTGTGTTACACATTACTTTGGAGCTTTGCATATGTTTTCGTAATGAAAAAGTTTAATGGTTAGGGGTTTGATGTTTTGCTCCAACCGTCCGTTTCACGTTATACTCGCACACACAAAAGTTTCAATAATTGAATCAATAGAATCCAAAACACTAATAAATAACTGCTAATAGAAATTAAAAATCATATGAAATATTTTAGATAGTAAAAACCTGAATATCTGTTCCTAGAAAATGCAAACTTGGACATGAAAATATTAAATAGAAAAAGTTGTTGTCTAATTTTGTCTCTTGGCTGCTTTGCTTTTGGCCCTTTGTTTGGTTTCTGCCTCTTCCTCACGAATAAGTTCTTCCTGCATTTTCAGCACAATAGCTTCTTCATACGCAACCTCGATTTTGCTGCATGCAGTTATAGTTCTCATGAGATATCGAATAATGATTCGTCACGTAAACACATTCAAGGCAGAACATGTACAGAAGTATACAAGATTTAGAAAACATATTCTGCATTTGTTACGGACCTTTAAGATATGGGCAAGAACAAATACCTCCTTCGTGTACCTTGGCTTCAGCTTTTCTTGATGTTCTTTATCTTCTCTCATTTTTGGTTTGTAGATTGGGGGTGTTGAGACTGTCACTCTTGGAGACGAAGAAGCAAGGGCGAGAAGAAGCCAGAAGAGCATCCTCGAGAGAAAAGCTCTAAAGGTACTGATTTGACTTGTGTAGGCTATTATAACTTATGGCAGTTTTGGATTTCTAGGTAAGGAGAAGAGAAGCGGAGTTCAAAGTAGTGATAGAAAGATGGAGTTCATAGGATGGACAAGGCATCTGAGTTTTCCTGTTTTAATGGTTATCATGTCAACAGGTTTTAGGCATTTACACTACCACATACTCTGTCTTTCTTATGAACAAAGGTGTTCTCAAAGGATTGAAAAAAAAAAACCATTTCTATAATTAAATGACTAATGCAATTCCCTTTGGAGATTAACATCAATATCCTGTGGTGGAGAAAAAAAAAACTCAAACTTGAGATATTAAAACTTGCATCTGCTTGCTTCTTTGCAGTGATAACCAATCTTGGGATGATAATTAGGGCAAGTTTTGGCTTTGTTATTTATGGTTCTTCCAATAAGCCTCTCCAGAGCCATCTGGTCTTTGCAAAAGCGACACTGTCTTCTGAAGAATGTGGATGATGTACCAAAAGAATGTTGTGTCCCGCCTTCGGCTCATCAAAAGTGATAGAGAGTAGTTCGCTACGGGAGATGACCATTAGATTAGCCGGAGTTGGAATTTCATATTTCCAATCCAACATTTCATTAAACATATGTGAGCGAAACATATCTGTTTCAAAGCATAAAGACGTTATACACAACAGAAAAACACAGTTAACTGAATCTGAACATCAACAATGTCTTACTTGTAGTATACTTTTATACTCAGATTGAAGAGATAAAGATAAGAAGATTAACTGGGCAGGACGTGTTTAAGAAAGATTCCAGTGGAAGAGAGAGCTTGTTTGATGGAAGGAGGAATGTGATTCATATCTCCATAGGCAGAGATGGAGAGTGGACCACAGTAGTTCAGCTTATTCAGCGCCGAGATTATTTTCTGAGCGATTTCTTGAGATTTACAACTTCTAGGAACCGGACAGTCATCAATGTCCCAAAAAACCCACGTTCCAGCCTCCTCGTATTTAGCTTTAGCCACCTTGTTCTTGTTCATCATTCTCGTTCGTGTTAGTGAAGACTTTTAAACATTAAACAAAAAGAAAAATCAATCAGAAGCGAATAAATTAAAAGTTGAGAGAAGACAAACGCAGTTTTGGGTTTCTAATCTAGAAAATCTTCTAACAAAACATCAGATAAAGAAGTTTCATATATATACGTACTAAAATTGAAGGAACAAATATCATGGGCAGAGAAACAAGAAATTCACCTCCCCTATCCAATACAGAATTATGGAGAGATTAGGACGAGAACATATATTAGCTATTAGTGACGAGATAGACGCAAGTCTACGTGCCTTCCACTATATATTATTAGCTAAAAAGCAGAACCCTAAAAACGCAACTAGCTAAAAAAAAAAAACCTTAAAACGCAAAACCCTAAAATTTAAAAACCTATATACATTAAAGTCTTTTCGATGATATGTATTCATATTAATTGCTCTCTGTCCGATTAGCAAAACTTAGACGATCATGAGCAGAGGAAAATATTCTCATACCATCCCAATGGAACTTATTACCGAGATATTCTCGAGGTTGCCGGCAAAGTCAATGGCTAGGTTTCGTTGCGTGTCGAAGCTATGGGGTTCCATACATAGACGTCTCTTATTCGCACTCGAACGAGCCAACCATGAGTTTCTCTTCTTCTCAGCGCATCAGCCTCAGCAACCGTATGAGAAGTCGCCGTCGTCTCTTGTAGTAGCCGCTGATTTTCACACGAAGATCTCTAAAGACAAGAGTCCAGAATTTCGTTGCCTTACCTCTGGGTTAATCTATTTCTCTGACACGGAGATAGAGACGGGTGGTGATATGAAGCCCGTGATATATAACCCTATCACGGGACAGTATGAGAACTTACCTAAACTAAGTAGGTACAGAAAGTCGTATAGCTTTTTAGGGTTTGATCCCGTTGGCAACCTATACAAGGTATTGTTCATCGCTTATCCATATTGTCCTGACGCGGGTAAACATAGAATTCTGACATTAGGAACTGGCAAAAGGAGGTGGAGGAAGATTGAATTTAGCTTAGTCCATGTGCCTGTGTGTGAAGGGATATGCATCAATGGGGTTGTGTATTACATCGGTCAAGCTGAAGTTAAAACTTCTTCTAAAGTTCACTTCAAAAAAAGAAAAACTTCTTCCAAATTTAGTGAAAAGTACATGATAGTTTGCTTTGATGTTAGGTCTGAGAAATTCAAGGTTGTTGATGCAGAATGCTTTTGTAATCCACTTAAAACTACATTGATCAATTATAAGGGTAAATTAGCTGGGACTGATTTGTCGTATGATGACGACACTGATGCACCTAAGTTGTGTATTTGGGTTCTAGAGGATGTCGAGAGGCAGGAATGGTCGAAATAGACACGAAGTCTCTGTCTACAAAGTTTTCGTTGTTGGGATGACTACTACGGGTGAGATTGTTTTGTCGGACACGTTAACATGTAAACCGTTTTATGTTTTCTACTTCAACCCCGAAAAGAACACTCTCAAAAGTGTTGAAATCCGAGGTGTTGGAGAATACCATGAAGCGTTTGATAGTGATTGCAAAGTTTACGCCTTTGTAGACTATGTCGTAGATCTCAAGTTTTTAACATAATTAAGAGTCTAGCTAGTTTTGGCTGTGAGTGTGGCTTCTCTCATTCACAGGTTTCGTGTGGTCTTTATCACTTGACTTTGGAGCTTTGCTTTTGTTTTCGTAATGATTTGGGTTTTTGATGTTTTGCTTCAACCGTCGACCGTTTCAGATTATACTCGCACACACAAAAGCTTTAATAATTGAATCGATAGAACTGGAAACACTAATACAGTAAATGATTTTGCTAATATAAAGTAAAAACGATATAAAATATATTAGATAGTAAAAGTCTGAATTTCTTGTTCCTAGAAAGTACTAATGTGACATGATATAATTAAATAGAAAAATAAGTTTTGTCTAACAAGAGGCTAATTTTGTCTCTTGGCTGCTTTGCTTTTGGCCCTTTGTTTGGTGGTTTCTGCCAAACATGCTTCTTCCTCTTCCTCACGGATAAGTTCTTCCTCACGTATTCTGCATTTGTTACTTACCCAACTCAGTTAAACGTCTCTCATCACGCTCAATGGCATCTTCCTTCATGGCCTCTTCTCCACCATTGCCATCCTAGATTTGCATCGAAGAACAATAAACAAATCTATCAATCACTTTCTAGCAACAAAGATATATATATCCCATGCAAGCTCACCTCTTTACGGTTTTGAGGATGTTTCTCATCTTTTGGAGGCAAATGGATCTAAAGCAGCTCTCTCTCTGGGAGAAACAGCACATCATCAACTATATGTTACATATCTTTGTCCACACTAACAATCGGAGGTGGTACTTCTCCTTTTCATCTAACAGTCTTGGCCTAGCATTCGTGTTCTTAAGTTTGGCCTTCAAGAGCCATGAGCCCACTATACAAAGAATCCATCACCTAAGCGGATGTAACTTTTGAGCCCACTATACAAAGAATCCATCACCTAAGCGGATGTAACTTTCTTCTCAATGAAAAAATGTTTTACAACACCTTTTAGGTTTAATTCCATTTTATTACAAGTCGAATACACCCTAGCAAGTTCTGTCCTACAATGACGATTAAGGCAGCGAAAAGGTTGGTCCACCCTCTCTGTTCAAGAACCAATTAATAATATAAGGATAGTATCCATACTGCACACAAACCAGTGACACCAGAGATAGCAAAAAGAACCTACATGACCAGTGTATGCTGAGAGTGAAAGGGATCATGCAGACCAGTGGGCAAAAATACTAACCTAGAAGAAGTTTATCATGGTTTGCAACACATATCGAAACAAGGAGAGATGATTGTGAACATCGCATACTTGTGGATAGATTAAAATATACCTGACATCAATAAAGATAAAAGTAACGAAACAGACAGAGCCTTTGAAACCCAGACAAAACAATAAGGATGAGAAAGGTAAAATATATGATATTTATACCATTTGTATAGCCACCAGTTTCCAAAACACTACTACGGAGCTCACTTTTGTTGATTTTTGAAACATTCTTGATCTTACATTATGTTTTCCAAATAATTCAGAGGGTTTAAGGCCTGAAAAAATAATATATATCACATAAGAAGTATAACACAACACAAGACAAAACAGAGGAGAGCTACATAGTAGGATGCTATACAAAACTAAACTCCTTGGGCTAAATCCATCTGGTTCAAAGGCTCCACTCTTAAGCTCACATTCGCGTTTTGGGTTTCTCACCTCGATCAGCTCCCAGTCAGAACGTGACTTGCAGCATAGGACATCTCCACTACATCTACATGTTGTACCTGTGGCAGAGAAAGTGAGACCCTAAACCACCTGATGCTGAACTGTGAGTTTAGCTCCTTCATATGGCGTCAGAATTTGCAACGCCTGAGATAGCCCCATCTAACCTTGACCTCATGCGATGGCTATCCACTCCTGTGGCCCCTTCAAGTTTGATGCTCAGGCGTCTTACTACTCAGACTCTGATATTTCTCATATGGAGAGAACGGAATAACAGACTCCATAACTCAGTATCCACTCCTCATCCAGTGATATTCAAGCAGATAGATAGGTGTGTCAGAGACTCCATTCTCGCCGAATCACCCGGAAGAAGTTTTGGAATCTCCTCTCGGAATGGTTCTTACATTCAAGTTCTTACACTGAGGAAAATCTTAACGATAATCATAAAAAACATTCTTGCTGCAAAAACACCTACCATAGACCATAGTCATCATCCTCATTGGTCTGCTAGTATGGGGGCGATGTCAGATTGGTCTCTGCCATTCCTTAGTACGAAAGCTCTCTCCCTCAACTATAAAAAAAAAAAAAATATTAACAATTGGAGCAAATTAATAAATGAAATGATGAATTCTGTGATTCCCACAAGTCCTGTAAACAAGACTTGCTGAGAAAGCAATCGATTTGGTCATTGAAATGGACAAAGAACAAGCAGATACATGTATAGTCTCTAGCTACTTGCAATATGTCGTCATTGAGTTGTTGTTGCCGCCTTTACCGTTATCGTGATCCAAGGGAGCTGAACATCACCGTACATCACCACCGTTGCTGTTCTTCATCACCAAGGGACCTCACGCCACTGGAGACAAAACTCACATCGCAGGAGGCGGAGAGTCACCGAGATGGAGCCGATCCATGAGAGCTAGAGCGAGCCTTAACTGTAACAAGCGATTCAACTCTTAGCCCTAGATCTGATATTCACATATCTTCGACATCTCCGTTTACCACGGCCTTGGTTCCAATCTACTCTCATCCCTCCTCTTTGTTGTTTCCATCGTAGTCAACTCCTACAATCTGTTTATTTCTGAGTGCCACGAACCTCACTTCAATCAGACTTGTTTAACAATCAAGCGAGATATAGCTCTTATGGCGCTGATAATAGCTAACTTTTCCAGCTCTAAGTTTTTTTTTCCTTTTCCCTAAGCATGCTTCGTTATCCAACAAAAAGGTTAAAAGTCATTGTTTCTATAGTTTAGATCAAATATCACATATGTGACTATAGTTTGAATTCATTGTTAATATATATCATCAACTTTGCAGCTACTAATTAAATAGGTTCATGAGGCATTGATTCTGGTGATGGATTGTTTTCATGTGATATCGTTTTTTCTTCGGGAGTAATGTACACACATATATATGTTTTTATTTAACGTTAATAATAATCTTTAACAACCGTTCCGTCATAGTTTTTTCGATCTTTCTTAAAGAGCTATTAGATATGAGGAGGGTGGTTGGGATTCACGACTTGAATAAGAAAATTCAAAAATCTATACTACAAGTTTTGGAAATATGAGTTTTGAAGAGGAATATGTTGAAAACGATATGCTCAAGATCTTTGCAAGAATTTTAAAATTATACTGTATATTTGGCAATCATTTATTAACTATCAGTGTTTTGAATTCTGTTGATTCAATTCTTATAACTTTTCAGTTTTATGTGTGAGTAAATTCTGAATCGGGACGGTTGAGGA